ATGAGATGCAGACAGGAAGCAGGGGAGTTTCGCAACACAGGACCGTTAGTCGTAACATAACTGTACGTTGAATAAGTACCCTCACGAGGGTAAGCCTCAATTAACCAAGGCCATCAGCACCCACGTCGTAGAAGGCAGGCGTCACAGAACGAAAAAGAGTGACGAGTAAAATCCTGTCAGTCAAACAATAAACACGTAAGTTCATTTTTAAGTATAAACGACAGAAAACTGGAAATTAGCGAATGATAGGCAAAAGGCAGGTCTCCCTGTGATTTTTAGGCAAATCTGCTCAGAAGGTCATCTGTGTGCACGTAGCTGACAAGTGACCGTTGCGTCAATCAGAATGCACGTTGATGAGTCATTTACCAAAAAGCCGACACACATTCAGTTCATCCCTCATTTGACTGATCTTTCTTCCATATACTGTCTGTTTGGAACATGGCAGACGTACAGCGGGACAGAGCAGTAACGTTACTCCAATCTGAGCAGGTGCCTTTTCAAGAATCAGAGGTCGCCATTGGCATCCACAAAGGAGAGCTCGTTTCCCGACCAGCTGAACTGTGGCAGCGTCTTCGAAATTATTGGATGGTTATGTCCCAGTGCATGAGAATTGCATTGGGGTTCACGACAGGAATTCACAGCTGTCGTGGCAGCTAATGGGGGACAGGCCTCATTACGAGCAAAAATAACAGCAAATCTCTGCGAGGTACAAAGCAATATGCGAATTAGAGGCTTTTGTATGTCTCGGGACATTAACATATATATGACCATTATCATCAGTCAAAGGTGTGGGTTCGAATCGAAGCGTTTCGTAAATGTTTATATTAAATGAAAATTTTCTCGATCAGGAAACTCACCTCACTGAGTTTCGATGCCATCAGCCGAGACATTAACAACAGGTCGACGACCTTCTAACAGTAAGGAAGTATGGTAATCTGGTGTAGTCATGACAAATGGCGAGGGACATGCAGTCGTGCAATCTATCTCTCATGCATAGGTTTTACAACCTCAATAGTCAGTGACTCAGCGAAAAGTTGTCGGAAACCATAAATAAAAGCTAAACCAATTTCACTATCCACAGAGTTCAATAGGGGGTCAGGTGTTCTTACAAGTTTGTCTGACTGAACGGATGAAAGTGTTCATTTTATCATTTCATCAGTGACAACATGAGTTTTGACCTTTTGCTGATTTTCACATTGAATAAACAGCTAACAGGTCGGTTAGGTTTAATTGCAGTCGTATGAGGCGCTCGCATCGAACAGCACAACCTTGGTTCTCACCAGCTCTGCTGGGACCACACAGACACTGAAACACCATGCTGCCCCTCCCCCGGTGTTGCTTGCGACTCAGTGAGTGATTCTGAAAACGGTTTCTCGACGAAACAACGTTGGGTAAATTTTTTAAACCGTTTCGCTAAAATCGTCGCATTTCTCCATCGAACGTATCACC